TTTTTGTTGACCACGAGTCGATTACACTGTCGAGCGTGAGACTGCCAATCAACTGAGGAGGTTCGAGACAATTCCCGCTAGACTCATGTCGGTGGTAAGGAAAGAAAAGAACAAAAATGGGGTGAGAGAGAGGAGACACTGATCCATCTAAAACACCAAAAAGGAGAATAGATCAGTCCGCAAAGCTCGTGTGGAAAAGACCTTGAAAAGTGGGGCCCAAGTTCTTTCCTAACAAACATGAAGGGGCACCTTGCGCTAATTTTCTCAACCCCAAAGACGTAGGATTGATCAAGTCCACTAAATGCTTTTCCGAGATGACGTTTTAAAATTCTCCATTCTTCAAAAGAAAATGATCACTGGGAAACCACCACTAATACTTCCCAAACTCATGCCGAAATCAAAATTCCTCCGACTTTTAAATTACTAAATAGTCTAATGAATAAACATAAAATCTTCCCATATGATCCAAATAATGCTCAATCCAAATAAGGCTCAGGGCCGGGGCTAAAAGAGAGGAGAAAGCAACCACCAAGGCCCTCGGCCAAGACAAGAAACAGGGCCGAATGAGGCTCACGGCTAAGGCGACCAAAAGAAATACTAATGGCTACTGTGCTTCCCCAACAAACATAAGATGATAACTAAAGTGATTATAATTTTTTGAATGACAAACTTGATTCATCCGCAACACTCAAGCCAATCAAACCTAGCAAGGAGGACCAAATCGCACCCAATGACCTCCAATAGGCCTCACGGGTAAGGACCAAAAGGGGAGGCTCACAGCTGAGGCAAACCCAAGAAACAACAAGTGAGACTCACGACTAAGGCAAACCCGAGGCACAGGAGCAGAGGAGGCTCACGACTGAGGCAAACCCAAGGAACAACAAGTGAGGCTCACAGCTAAGGCAAACCCGAATCAATTCCCTACAAGTTTTGATATACATAGGAGAGTACAAAACATCACCAATCTCTCAAAGTAACAGGTATGATCCATCTACAATCATTCAAATGATTCAAACTCAACAAGAGGGGGGGTAAATTAAACTCAAGGAACCCCAATAGGTCTTTCGGGTAGGAATAGGAACCAAAGCCAGCAAGACCACCTCCAAACAACCTTTCGGGCAAGGGCCGAACAAAGCAAACACAGCCCCCCAACTAGAGCCAAACCGAGTCCAACAGAGGCCAAACAAAGCAAACATAGCCCCCAACTAGAGCCAAACCGAGTCCAACAGAGGCCAAACAAAGCAAACATAGCCCCCAACTAGAGCCAAACCGAGTCCAGCAGGGGCAAAAACGAGAGCTCTTAAAGCTAGGAAAAGAGCTTTAACACCTTAATAAAAGTCAAGACTCAAGTCTCCACAAAAATCAACATCCCATACTCCTGAAATGAAAACCGAGCATCAACAAAAACCCAAAGCCGAGTCATTCAAGGCCCAAACATGAGCCCAACAATATTAAAATCCAGACTTCCATAAAGCATTAAAGTTTTAACCATTTCAAACCCTAAACCGTGACTCCAAATCAAGCCAAAACCGAGCCCTACAACATTAAAGTTCTAGCCATTTCAAGCCCAAACCCGAGACTCCAAATCAAGCCAAAACCGAGCCCCACGAGGCTAAAACAAGACCCAAACATTGATACAAATTCGGGTTTTAAAAAAAATTAAAGTGCCAGCCACTTTAAGGTAAAAAAAAAAGAGTCATCCAAAGCCAAGAAACAGCCTGCATGTCTAAACATTCTAAGCATGAAATTATTCCAACAAATATTTGAACAGGGGAGGAATTTCACGAGGAGCTAAACCAAGCCCTCAAAACAAGCTACAACACTTTCCAAATTAAATAAATTTTCTCATAGCATACATTTCAAGCCAGGAAAGCCACAGGAAGTCAAAACCGAGCCCCCAAACATGCATAAAACAGTAAAATGAACTCCCTAGCATTCATGAAAGACCAAATAACCTCTCCAATATTTCATGCTAAATGAAAATAAATGAAAATCTTCATAATACTCATCCCAACGTGCTTGCAAGAGGAGCAAAAATTATTCCAAAGTTATGTCTTAATTCACTAACTGTTTCCAACATAAACATGCCACAATAATCATAAATATGCCATAGCCTCCCTAGCTTAAGCGAGTAGTCAAGTTTAGCTCTTAGGACATGCCCGCATTTCCATTTCTAAATGCACCTGAAGTGAATTGCACCTGAAGTGACAATATATCAAAGTAAAATGAACTAGCATGCTGTATCATCCAACAGAGCTATACTCAAAGGCTCGGCAGAGGGAAAACCGAAAGGCAACGAGGCACTGTGAAAAGGGGGGAAAAAGAGTACCTTCCTTTGATACCAATGTAAAGCACCGCAACACAAGAAGCTACCTCAAGGATATGCTCTCACAGGAATCTCCTCCTGAACTTCTCTCACAGCCAAAAATTTCTATCCCTCTCAGGAAACTTTTTCAAAGCCCAAAAATCTCAAAAGAAATTATGTTTATAGGCAGAGAAGAGAGGAGAAGAGAAAGAAGATCACCCCATCAGTCCACGACACTCGAATCGGGCCAAAGAAGAAAAGGACGCGCTCCCTGCTCACAGAAGGCGAAGCCACCGAAACATCTCAGACCGAGCGGCAAGCCCAGTGGCAGCGAGGAAAGTATCGGGAAGAATAGAGAGTTTGCCATTCAAGTGTACCAGGGAACAAGCTTCCTAGAGTCAAACTACCACGAAAAAGAAAACCACAGCTCGGGGAGACTGGCACGACTTCGAGAAGGAGGACTGCGGGCATAAGGTGTCGGGCAAGGACGGATGAGAAGTCAACTTTCTCTCGCGTGGAGGAGGAAGAGCTCGGTCGGCTCGAGACCGAGAAAGGGAAAGGCCAGGCGCGCGAACAGGAGAAGGAAGGGAGGCAGAGCTCGGGCGCGGAGAGTGGGGATTTAGGGCTTAAAGAGGAAAGAAAAAGATAATCTGGTTTATATAAATTTATATGCAATCAATTCACGCGCGGCGTTCTAACAAAACGGGTGTCCTCCATAGGTATTGACGTTTCGGACGCACCGGCGCAGTCTGTTTTGTCATCCGGGGTTGCTCGAACGACGTCGTCGATAATTGGGTAAAAAACGCGTTAGAATTCAAATTTTACAAAATTTCGACCCGCGATCGATCATTTCAAAAGGTTTATTCGAGCCTTCGACAGGTAACAGTGCAAGCGATGTGAATTGTGGCGATCGCGAATTGTAGTGATCGGACATGTCGACTCTCCGAATTGCGAAGTTTGTGCGCACGGGAGTGCAAATTGTGTAGAAGGCCTTCCTAAGGCTTAAAAGGCCCTATAGGAATCCTTTTTAGGTTTCCTCATGTTGGTTTCATCCTTCTAAGTGCTAGAAGTCGATACCACACACGCGAAACAACAAAAGTGTACAGAAGTGGGTTGAATTTCTAAAATAAGGCGGGTCCCATTTCTAAGGTTCTAAGATAGTCAAAGGGAGATCCCTAAGGCTAGGTCCTAAATCCTAAGAGGAGGACTAGACCTCACCAAAAATGAGGTCAACAACGAGAAATGATATAACCCAAAAAAAAACATATATGGTCCGTTAGGAAGCGACACTTCTTTGGGTGGGCATATAGTTTCTATTCGTGCAAGGCTTAGAACACCGTCCTTAGGTGTTGTAAATGTTCCTCATCAAATCAGTTGTACTCTAGAATGTAGTCGATGTAAACCACCACAAATTTCCCAAGTGGTGGCTGAAATATCTTGCTCATCGACCTCATAAATGTGCAAGGCACATTTGACAAGTTGAGGGCGTAACTGCCCACTTGTATAACCAATTTCGTGTCTTGAAAGCGGTCTTCCATTCGTCCCTTGGCTTCATCTGTTTCTGGTAGTAACCAATGCATAAGTTAATTTTGTAAAAGGCGGTGGCTCCATGTAACTGGTCCAAGATATCGTTCAATCGGGGTATGGGAAACCGATATTTGATGGTGATCTTGTTGATGATCCTGCTGTCAATGCACATTCTCCACGATCCATCTTTTTTTGGCATCATCAGGGCGGGAACAACATATGGATTGTTTCTTTCTCTGATTAGCCCTCTTGGAATGAGATCCTATACTTGTCGCTGTAACTCTTGATGGTTTGATCATATTTTCTGGTCTATAGAAACAAAACTTATAATGATTCATTGAGTTGTTGTACAATACCTAAATAGTAACTCATGGAAGCTTTAAGAGTTTATCTTGTCGTATGATTTGATTTCAGAACCTTTGAGGCTACTTTTTGTTCATATGTTATGTTAATGAAATGTATCTTGCAGTGAATGTGAATATATGTTGTTTGTTATCTTCAGGTTCTTGAACTTATGATATTACTATGACTGCAGTAAAGACTCCACTACAGACTCCAACTTAATGTGTTGCATCTCAAACTGTAAAATTTGGATGCAACACAATGAGTTTTCACTTTCCAATTTTGACCATATAGTTCAACCTTGTTATATTTCTTTATATGGGTTTTAGTTATTTGATTATGTTGATCTATGTATAATGCTACATAATCGAAATAAAAATGCATTAATGAATAAATTTCGTCAGTGAAAGTGGTGGAGTATGAAATGAAGTTTATTTCATGTTTAAACTTTTCCTTTATAATAGCTGTTATTTTGTAAACCGAAGGTATGACTGCTGTGTTTTTTGTCTCCCATTTTAGCGAAATGCACGTGCAGAACTTAAAGATCATGACTAATCCTCATCAGCTTTATCTTTTAATTAATTCATGTTAACAGAATTGGTATAGGCTAGTTTTCCATTGAGAGCTCTCTTTTATGCATTTTAAGAAATCTCAGTACCATGAGCCTTAGTTAGCCTCCTGGTAAATTACAATGGCTTATATTAAAACTTGGCCCTTGGGGTAATCTAATAAAATTTTTTCCATTAAGTACCGTCTTTTACCGGCATCTAGCAAATCCTTTTTTGTAGACTTTTGTCATTGAACTATATGTTTTTTATATAAACAGATCATTCCAGAGATGCAGCAAGAGCAGAGGATGCCTTGGTTCTTTCTTATGGGAGTGAAATAATTGGAATGCAGAGGGACTGGAATGAAGAGTTACAGTCTTGTCGGGAGTTTCCTCACAAGAGTCTTCAGGAAAGGTGCAAAGTTGGGCTCATATTACGGCATGAACCCATAAGTTCTGCTAAGTTTTTCTCCTTCAAGTGGACAATATTTAAGGGGTCAGCCATCCATGAATTTCTTTTTGCAGGATCTTACGGGACAGGGCGCTTTATAAGGTGACTTGTGATTTTGTAGACGCAGCAACTAATGGTGCAATTGGAGTCATAAATAGATGCATTCCTCCTATTAATCCAACTGATCCAGAGTGTTTCCACATGTGAGTGAATTTAAAGATGCTATATCCCAAGTTAAATACTTGCGCCACAGTGATGATGATATATTGTTTTGTTAAATAATTAGTATTATCAGTTTCAGATGTCATGATTTGATGTGTTCTAATGGGCTGTACACTAGCAATATTTATGCTATGAAATAGAATTTGCAATTGTGATGTCTTAGTTAAGATCTCATTTGATCAATGGTAAAGCTCATAATATGTTAATTAAACCCAACATATATTTTATTAGCTTGAAATCTGTTGGCTCTTCCACAAATATGAGCATTGTTTTCTGCCCATTTGCTCAGTAGTTTGGGTTTCCTGAGATGGAGTAGGGAAACTACCTGTGATTCAATTTACTACATAATTTAATTAATTGTTCAATGCTGCGTGTTGGCACTGAAGAGAATTTGATTAAGAAAACAATTGCATGATTTATTGTGGCTTGACAACTAATACCTAGACCATTGTAGCGGGAGGGCAGAGTTCTTCACCATTCATTTGGAACTACATATTTGGTACACATGATTTTTGAAGAAAGGAAGTCTTTTTAGTTCAAGCTGCTGCTCTCGGAAGCTTTTCTTTGAAAGCTGCTCGGAAGCTTTTCCGAGTGGATGTTGAGTGAATCCCGCTCCTTGAAGTTGAGGTGAGGCAGACAACTTGATCCTGCTCTCACTTTGGTTCCCAATCGTAATTCTGCTTAAGCTTCTGATCCTGATACCACTTTCGCATCCGACATTGCCCCACTTTCACGTCTGATACTATCGCCGCTCGATCTTTCTCTCTCGCTTCCTGGCGAATCGAGGTGCGTAAACCGATCCACGATGGATTGTTTTATGCTATGTCAGACGCCATGGGGTGGCCGCGCCCTAGGGGATTCTATTTACATTTTTTAGATAATTATTAGGATTAATTTTTCTTTGGGAGCTTTTTAAATGTTGTTCTTTTCTGGTTTTGAGAATTTTGGCTCGTATTTATGCATTTATGATTGTGTTCTCTGATTTTTGTGCTATAAGGAGTGTTGTATTCTCTTTCTTTTACAAGTGGTGTGTTTGTAGCATGTTCAAAATTATGTCGTGAATTTCGCTTGGCAATCGTGCCTCGCCAGAAGTATCATTTCATTGTTCTTTCCGCTGTTTTCAATCCGAATAGCTGCCACCAACCTCGCATATTTTTTTATTGCTATTCCACAACCTTTCTCATCGAGTCCAATCCTTAAACACCTTCTAGGAATATTAGAACGATATTATTTGATGCTCAATAAATTGTAAACCTTTAGGGATTTATTTTCTCTCATCTTCTAAACCTAAACTTCACATAACCTAATATAATACCTTCATAAAAAAATTGTTCTTACCCTTGCATTGTCAGTCAAGATCTTAACTTTGAGAAAATGAACGCCTTGTCTCCTAGAAAAAAACATGCAAATAGGTGTCTTAAAGCTGACAATATAAGATATGCAAAGAGAGATCCTCCAACTTTATCAAATGCTTGTTGTCTTTGAGAGGTGACAACCCAGAGTGACACCTAAAGCTATAATGGTGACTTTTCAAATCGAGAGCAAGAAATCAAACCCTTTTACTAAGAAGTTCCTAGCGATGAAGAACCAATGCACGATTTGGCATTGAATGCTAGCGGAGGGGCAATAATTTTGTGGTGAAGATTGACTTTGCTGGTTTTGACAGTCGTTTGGATTTGGATGAATTGTTTGTGATTAAATAGTGAAATAAAGATGAGTACAAGGAAGTTCCCCAAGATAATCAAATTGCCAGCCGTCAAATTCAGAAAGAATGCATCTTTGTGTTGGGAGGATCTATATATTTTTTGACAACGAGAATGAAAGAGCAAAATCTGTTGACCGTTAAAAAAAAATCCCAAATTTAGTCATGATTTTTCTCTCTAACAGGTTGCATGGGCCTTCCCTCTGTTATTCGAACAATAAAAATCATGCACGAGACGCAGGAATTGCTCACCATTTGTTTTTAATTTTTTCCACTGTCTCTTCTCTGTTCGAACGCCTCTCATCTTTCGTCTCACTTCCTCCTTTGTTCGACCCTCGTAAGAAACTGTCCCCTTATATGTTCGCCCGTCGTCACCCGATATAGTCACGATCAAAGCTAGCGGGAAAGCATTGACATCCATTACGTACAAATATTTTTGAAACTTCCGCCTTTCTCTTCTGCGCCATCTCCATCTCAATATCGTGACCACTATTACTAGCAGAAAAAGCAATGAACGAAGTGCAACGTACAAAGGCCTCTAAAACTCTTCTCACTATTCTTGCGATACTAGTCCTCATTGAAGCCTTGCTTCCCTCAATTAGTCCTCCAGTCCAAACTGCTTTCTCGCTCTCCTTGATCTCTGAGAATCACAAAAGCCACTATAGCGCCTCGCCCCGTTTTGTTCGAACTGAAAATTGGTTCACAAGTGATAGAGGAGAGACCCTCTGTTTGCTCCCCTTCACCATAAACTAAGCCAATAGTCCTTCTCTCTCTCTCTCTCTCTCTCTCATATTTTGTATAAAAAACTAGAAAAATATGTGTTTCAATTTTGATCGATTTCATCATTTTGCCGTTGTTGACATCATCTCGCTCGTAAAGATATATGTAGGGGATTTTAAACAAAATCATCCATTTAAGGATATTTAAGTACCTATCCATGAAAATTTAAGTACTCGTTTGAGAATTTTTGAAAGACGAGGTTTCTTAGGTACACATTTTTGGAAAACATTAAAATCTTTTCAGCAAAATTTATGTACTGCCTAGGAAATTTTACATACCAGTCTAGGGAAATTTATATTTGTATTTGATTTTTGATAGTTAATTGAAGGCCCAATGTGCCTTATAGACGTTGTTTGGACTATGTACTAATTGGATCTTAAAAATGATAGAAAAATTAGGGAAATTTTTTGTTATGAATTATAATTGAAAGTAACTTCAAAAGAACCAAGTAGGATGCATATGACATATAAAGCCTTACGAATATATTAGATAACCTGCAATTAATGTGATTCGAGTTCTCTTTTAACTTCAACTTTATTCATATTTGAAAATGATCATATATAAATTTGTCCTAGTGCAAAGACACCTTTATATGATCTTCTTAAATACATTTATTCTGGTTAATGAATCACATAAATGCAATTTTTAAATGTTATTTTATATGCCTTTTCACCAACGGATTTATAATACACTTGCTACCGAATAGAATGTAGCATTTCAATATTTTTAAATGAATATCTGCATACATCCATGCATTCATTTAACTAAGGCTCCGTAATACGCGGCCCCAAACCGCGAAGCGGAGAAAAAATTTCTTGTTTTGATGTCGCGTTCGCGGCCGGCCCGCGCCCCCCCGCCTCTAAAATAGGCGGAACACGGGCAATTAATGTGATTCGAGTTCTCTTTAACTTCAACTTTTATCATATTTGAAAATGATCATATATAAATCTGTCCTAGTGCAAAGACACCTTTATATGATTTACTTAAATACATACATTCGGGTTAATGCATCACTCAAATGCAATTTTTAAATGTGATTTTATATGCCTTTTCATCAACGAATTTATATACACTTGCTACCGAATAGAATGTAGCATTTCAAAATTTTTAAATGAATCTCTGCTTACATCCATGCATTTATTTAACTAAGGCTCCGTTTGGGGCCGCGTATTTCGCGCGGTGCAACCCCAGACCGCAAAGCGGAGAAAAAATTTCTCGTTTGGATGTGGCGTTCGCAGCCACCCGCCTCTAAAATAGGCGGGCCACGGGCCGCGGGATCGACCTCGTTGCCCCGCGTTCTCCATCGGCTTTGACCTCTTTGCCCCACCCTCCCTCACGAAGCCCTCGTAGCCGTCTGCGCCCCCTCGAAGCCGCCCCGCCTGAGGCTCGATTTGGGGCGCGAGGTAACCGATACTGCACAGAGAGATTCTGATCGATGAGGATCGGGGTAATGAAGCTACACAAGGAACTTAGTGATGTTGAAGCCACGGATCAGGGTAATGGAGCTGCACAGGATCAGAATTACCATGGAGATATCTGGTTTTTGCAAGGTTTTCATTGTAGAGGCAACCGACTTAATGGGAGGAGGAGGAGGTTTGGTCGATCTACAGACAGTGGAGAGAGCTTCGTGGACTTACCTTCGCTGGGTAAAAAGTATAGGGGGCTTCACGGAAAAAGCCATCTCCATCACAAGGCAAGGCCCTCTAGCAGAGCAATCTGGAAGAGGAACCAGACTGTCGCTCTGCGGATATCGCTAAGAGTTTTCCATCTTCAACCCTCACTTTTGATCAGTTTGTTCTTTTCTTTTGCAATAAAACTACTGAACTTTTGCTCTATCTTATTTCATTAGACTATTTTATATCATTGAATGATAAAAAACTATAACAGTGTTGCAGAGTGTTTGAGTTTAACGACCGTCTATTATTATTTCTTTTAGATGACACCAAAGTTGAACTGTTTTTATTTTAAGTTTTGATACTCTCAAATTTTGTTTCCATTTTTTTTGTCATTTTATTAATGTTTTATTTCTATTGTCTTTTTGTTTTGAAAAGAGTAGACTCTGAAAAGTAATATATATTATGAAAATAAATCTGAGTAATCTTCAATTCTGAGGATTTTAACGATAATCATGTTAAGAAATTACTAATGAGATATAAGATAATTATTGATTGTTTGAGTTTTTTTTTTAACAGATATTGTAGTTTCTAACTGATCTTTTTCTCATTATCTTTTTGAGTTTTTTTTACTTTTTCTTTCGAATGATTTCTTTGTCTGTGAACAATTTTGCTAAACAACTTTATTAAATGAGGGCATAATGTTTATTTTTGTAGAAACAACTGCATCACAGCTGTTTTCACGTAGTTGCAACAAACAAAGAACAAACTTCCCCGCAACAGTTTCTTGGGGCAACGCAGCTGCAACTGAAAAGCTGCAGTTGCCCCAAACAAACACTTAAGATAAAATTATATAACTTCAAGTGTTACATGTGTTTTTAAAGCA